GGATTAAAAAAATTACTACTATAGACTTTGTGTCCAGAAACCTAGACTTAGTTGTGTAAATTTGGAAAATAAATTAAATTCTAAAAGCCCTTATTTGCTCACTAATAAAGTTGGGGTAATGAAATACAGCTGTAGTGAAGATTAAAATAAATAATACTTAGTGTTGGGAAAGTGAAGAAGAAAGGAAGGAACGGGCCAGACTCGATCTCAACAGGCTAGGATTGTTTATTGAGGAACAGCAAGGGACACAGACCTTCCCTCTGGTATGGAGTTTTGTGTAAAGACATGGGCTCAGGAATGGGGTTTTATGGGGACCAGCAAGGAGGCAGAGGTTAATGAAAAACTACTGGGTCAAGGAAGGTGAAGGACTCTTCAGTTGGGCCCAGGATGGAATATTTACAGCCAGACTTAGATAGATTGCTCTACAGGCTTCAGGCATTCTGCACTTATGGCCTGTCTGGTATCTGTATGCACCTAGGAAAACAGGGTGGAAGTCAGTCCTTCATATTCCATCTTTGGATACCTAAAAATAACGGGCTGAGAGTGGAGAGGTCAGTCCTTCTTATAAGGACTTTGGATACATGAACAGAATAGGGCGGGAAGGGAGCAATATGTTGTTATAATGAGAACAAAGCAGATTCTCATCACTTAGAACAAATATGAAAGGTTCAATAAGCATCTTAAAAGAAGAAAAGTTGTTATTGCTTTATTATTGCCACTGTATTATTGTGACATATTGGAAAAATTGCCTGTAACAATGCACAAATGAAAAAATGAATCTGGAAAAAAAAAGAGGGGAAGAGTAATGAAAAGAGGAAAGGATGGCAAATGCAATCATTATATTGATGATACATATGTAAACATGGAACCAGGTAACTTAAGAGGATGGGTAGGGCTGGGAAGGATGGGGAAGAGCAATAAAAGAGTCAACACTAATCAAGATGCATTGCACTAATAACCAACCTTGTTGAACTGAAACCTCTTTGCACAACAACTTAATGATAAATACAAATGAATAAGAAAAAAACAAGAATTAAATTTGTGCTACATTTCTTATAGTACAAGAAATAAGTTTTAATTTGGGCAAAACAAAATTAAATGAGATACATGACAAAATAAACTCTGCAAACGCCTTGTGGGTAACAATGCCTTTGGAAATATACATGCCTCATTTCAAAAACACATCAATCTTCAGCTGGGCTATCAATATTCATTACAGGTTCACGCCTGTAATTCTAGCTACTCAGGAGGCTGAGATCTGAGGATCAAGGTTCAAAGCCAGCCCAGGCAGGAAAGTCCATGAGTGAGACTCTTACCTCCAATAAACCACCAGAAAATCAGAAGTGATGCTGTGGCTCAAGTGGTAGAGCGCTAGCCTTGTGCTGGAGAGCTGAGGGACAGCGCCCAGGCCCAGAGTTCAAGCCCCATGACCCGACCCCCCCACACACACCCAAAAAAACCCGACCAATATTCTGACTTTATTTTCTTTTGAAAATACAGTGATTTGTGAGCTTTGGGACACTATCATCCTAAAGATCACATCATAAAACTAGATTTGCTAAAACAAAGAACCTGATAGACATTTCTTCACTCTATTTTCTTAAGACATTTCCTGGAGAAACACTTCTAAATCCTTTCGGTATCTCTTAAATCTTTTCTTTGTGACAATGCTGGGGCTTGAACTCAGGGCCTGGGCGCTGTCCCTGGGCTCTTTTTTGCTCAAAGCTAGCGATCTACCACTTGAACCACAGCGCCACCGGTTTTTGCCGGTTAACTGGAGATAAGAGTCACAGACTTTGTTGCCCAGGCTGGCTTCCAACCCAGAGCTCAGCCTCCGGAGGGGCGAGGGCCGCGCGCGGGGCCGGGCTTGCAGGCCGGCGCGTGCAGCGTCCCCGTGTCCCTCTCCGCGGAGGCTGCTGGGAAGCGCCCGTGGAGCCCGCCTGGGGACGCTCTGCGCATGTGCGGCGCCCTCATCTGTCACCCTCGGCTAGCGGTTTTTGTCTCCGGCCGCGGCACCGCAGGTAGCGGACTCCAGGTGGGCCTCGCGCCGTCCGTCCGCGGTGCCGCTCGACACAGGGACTGTGCTCGCAGACCGGGCGGCCGGCCGGCGACCCAGAGCTGAGGCCGTGACCCTGAAGGTGCGTCAGAGGCCTCTCGGGGCGGGCGGGAGAGCGGGGATTCGTGGCCGGGTGGAGGTCACGGCCTGGAGGCCGCCGTCCCCCAGTCCAAGAGCGCCCCGCCGCACCAGGGGGGCTGACCGCGGGGGTCTGACCGCGGCGGGGGGGGGGGGGCTGACCGCGGGGGTCTGACCGCGGCGGGGGGGGGGGCTGACCGCGGGGGCCTGACCGCGGGGGGGGGTTCTGACCGCAGGGGAGGAACTGACCGACCGCGGGGGCCTGACCGCAGGGGGAGGCCTGACCGCGGGGGGGGGTCTGACCGACCGCGGGGGCCTGACCACAGGGGGAGGCCTGACCGCGGGGAGGGGGGCCTAGCCGCGGGGGGGAGGGCTGACCGCGGGGGGGAACTGATCGCGGGGGGAGGGCTGACCGCGGAGGGGGGAACTGATCGCGGAGTGGGGAACTGATCGCGGGGAGGGGCCTGACCGCGGGGGGGGGAACTGATCGCGGGGGGAGGGCTGACCGCTGGGGGGGAGGACTGACCGCGGGGGGGGAACTGATTGCGTGGGAGGCTGACCGCGGGGGCCTGACCGCGGAGGCCTGACCGCGGGGGGGGACTGATCGCGGGGGGGGGGGGCTGACCGCGGGGGCCTGACCGCAGGGGCCTGACCGACCGCGGGGGCCTGACCGCGGGAGGGGACTGATCGCGGGGGGGGGGGGCTGACCGATCGCGGGGGAGGGGGCCTGACCGCGGGAGGGGACTGATCGCGGGGGGTGGGGGGGAGGCCTGACCGATCGCGGGGGAGGGGAGCCTGACCGCGGGGGCCTGACCGACCGCGGGGTCCTTACCGTAGGGGGGCCTGACCGCGCCTGACCGCGGGCCGCCTTCTGCACTTGACCGGTCCCCCATATTCCGGTGCTGGAACCCTGTCAGGGGCGCCCCAGGAGCCGCCCGAGGGATGCTGAGCCGCAAGTCCAGTCAAATCGCGTCGATTCGCCGGGATTCGATTCTTCCCGGTTCAACTGGCTGGGCCCCAGGCTGGCGTTCAGATAGGTTAATCTAGGGCGACTCAGTCACCGGTAAACATGATTGGAATACCTTGCAGGAAAATCCCTCCTTGTAAATAGGGCAGTGGATGTCTAGGGTGATGGGAAATGGGTCAAGGGGAGCTGCTTTCTGGATCACAAAGCATACCTACAGTTGACCCCCCCCCACCCGCCCCAAACACACACTATCTCTGGCTACCTGTAATCCATGCAATAGTATGAATACAACTTTTTATTAATTCCATTTTATTACTATCACAGATTCGATTGTTTTACTTTGCAATGCAGGCTCTGTTCGTTTCCTACACTAAATTCCAGTCTTGGTTTGTATTTGGCTCGGCAGTTGTGTCCAAGCACCCCCAGACCATAGTTGTTGTGTAATGCACCAGTTCTTACCATATGGTACTATTCTATTTCCAAAAATTCTTGGGTCTAGCCAAGAACCTGATGAGGACCCTTCCTCCCATCTTCCCATTTGTCTCTCTTCTCAGTGGACTGCTTAGCTGCTCCACCTTTCAATGTTCAGTTTTACTCAAGAGTTGGGAATTCTGTCCAGGCTGAAAGCTAGTTTCCGAGTATTTTTTTTTCTTCCAGGGTTTGAATTATGAGCCTCCCTTGCTAGACAAATGTTCTGACAATCTATCCACTTCTCTAGCCTTAAGTTTTTTTGGTTACTGTTTTTAATTTTATTTTTTTCCAGTATTGGGGCTTGCAATCAAGGCCTCAAATTTTTGCTTGGCTTTTTCTCTCAAGGCTGACTTTCTACAACTTGAGTTTCACCTCTACTCCCAACTTTTTGCTGGGTGATTGGAGATAAGAGTCTCACAGATTTTTATGTCCAGCCTGATTTCAAACTGTGATCCTCAGATCTCAACCTCCTGAGTAGCTAGGATTACAGGCTTGAGGCACCAGAGCACAGCAAGATTTTTTTTTTTAAGATGAAAACTTCAGTCGAGCCAGGTTTCATATTATAAAGGTAGTATCATAATGCCTCTGATTGGCTGGTGGTATTGGGGCTTAATTTAAGCATTTTGTAAGCACCTGTGTTGTGTGGATATGATTGATGCTGCTAATGAGAAAGACTTTAGGATTATTGCATCTGCTGTCTTTTGCTATGCATATGAAGGACCTGTTTGCTGATTGTGGTGCCAAACTGCTATTTTAGAAGCTGTAGTTTTGTCAATAACAGCAGATTTGGGGGATGATTTAGAGTTCACCAAGATCTAATTAATTTTTACCATAGACCTAACCTAAAATTTGTAGGAGAGCAGAATTCATTCTAGGCACTGTCTTAATTTGCGGTCCTGGGTAAAGAAGTAAATAATACATGAAGGATTAATCAAGATTATCTAATTCTTCCTAATTTCCAAAGTATTGACATTGAAACCAAGGCAGTGACTATGTTTATAACAGGATATGTAGTAGAACCAATCATATTTAGGTGAAAATTTTCTTGGATAAGCATTTTATGAGAAAATAAAGAGAAGAAATGTCTAACTTTTGAGGATTTTGAATGGATGTTGTGCCTTTGTGGTATTTAAAATATTAAAAGAAAAAATTGTAATGACATGTAACACCTTTTATGTATCAAAAACACATTAATCCAACATCATTTTTTTTGGGGGGGGTCCGGTCGTGGGGCCTGAACTCTGGGCCTGGGCGCTGTCCCTCAGCTCTTCAGTTCAAGGCTAGTACTCTACCACTTGAGCCACAGCACCACTTCCGGCTTTTTTCTTTTTGCTTATGTGGTGCTGAGGAATCGAACCCAGGGCCTCAGGCATGCAAGGCAAGCGCTCTACCACTGAGCCACCTTCCCAGCCCTCCAACATCATTTTTAATAGCAGTCATAGGGAGGGTTCCATATTTGGACATGTTATACACCGTATTTAACTGATCTTCCATTACTCATTATTTAAGTTTTCAATCCTTTGTGTTATTCACTGAACAGATACATAATTATCAAAACAACCAATAGAAAAGAAATGTTTAGATTCAGTCAAAAATGTCACATGTTCATCAAGATTATTGTCAGAGTCATCAATTAAACAGGTGAGTACTATTTCATGGCCCTTCTATTCCTTCTCATGGTTCAAAGAGATATATCCCAAGAGGTTTATAGTGAACTTAAATATGATATGGAAATTTCTCACAGGTAATTCCTGGAACTACAAGATATGATCTGTTACAACTTCTCCCTTCCAGTTTTTCCTACTCTGGCTTCATAGTTTCTACTCTTCCCTGAGAGAATCATAAAAAATGAAAAAATTCAAGGTGAGTTATTTGTTTAACCTTCACTTTGTGTGTGTGTTTGTGTGTGTGTTTGTATGTGTATATATATGTACTGAGTTTTTTTGTGTGTATGTTTGTGTGCTTGTGTGTGTGTGTGTGACAGCTCATGTGTTAAACTAGAAAAGTGGAACTAGTTTATAATCACCTTTAGGGAAAATATCATTCCATTAAAACAGTAGCCTCCAAAGTATGATCTTCCAAGCCCCATGAACCCTAAGACCTCAAAGGGTCTTGTAAAGTTATCTCAAAATACTACTGTTGCCTGATTGCCACGAATTAAGGCAATGAGGGTATCAGGAGGGACAGGTGAAGACTGAGCAAGTTTAGTAGCAATAAATCATCTTTTACATATAGGATATATAGCTGTGCAGAGAAATAAAATTTTATTCTATGTCATTGTTTGAGTTGTAGACCAAATACTCTAGTCTACAAAGAATTTGTAAGTGGGCAACATTCTGCTCTGAACTGAAAGTAATTCTTTAGAGACATAACCTGCTTATGTCTGTGACTCATATTTGACTATCAATAAAGCATGAACATGAAGAATTTGGGGAAAAATAATAAAATAATCAAAAATTAATAATCATGGTATTCTTCCAAGGGACTCATAGTATACAAAAATTGCCAAACAATTTACTTAAGGATATCCTTAACAAAAGAATTAGTATTGATTCTCAAGTGCACATCTTTTTAATTTTCCAGATGATAAAATGAGCAGTTCATACCTCTCTTTCTCCTGTATCCTGAGCTATCCTGATTGGTTGTTTCACGGACAATTAGTTGTTTGATGTATGTTTACCTGAATACTTGTCATTGGAATACCTTCTTTTGCTTGAAAGAACAACTAGCAGACAAGCCTTGGGTATTTAAGCTTTATAAGACCTACTTAAAGTAAAATAAAAGAAAGTAAAAAAATAGTGAAGGAGAGATAGGGAGCCAGTGGCTTATGCCTGGAATTTTAGCTATTTAGGGGACTGCAATGGAAGGATCGCAATCCAAAACCAGGCCTAGCAGGAAAGTTTCTGAGTCTCATCTCCAGCTAATTACCAAAAGCCAGAAGTGGAATGGTGGCTCAAGTCGTAGAACACAGCCTGTGGTTTTTGTTTTCAGTTACTTAAAATTGTCTTTTGCATAACTAACTTTGATGAACTCTAACTTGCTTTTCTTTTTTTAGTTTATTTTGGTATGTTGTCTAAAAAGTCTTCTTTATCCAAAGCTAACAAAGACTTCCTATCTTCCAAAAATGTGACTGTCTTTATATTTTATTTAGGTCTATAATTTATAGGTCATACTTATATAAATTATAAATTTATAAATTATATAATATAAAGCATAAATAAATTAATTGGCTTAGGTTCTGTTTTTAGATATAGATCTCCACATGTTCCAGTGCCATTTTTTAACCAACATTATGTTGGTTATGTATGGTGTGTGGAAGCAAAGTATTTTACATACAATTCAGAGAGAACAATCCTATGCATTTACACAGAGAAGTGAAATCTAGGTTCATAAAAAAAATCCATGAAAAGGGCTGGGAAGGTGGCTCACTGGTTAGAGCGCTTCCTTGCATGCCTGAGGCCCTGGGTTCGATTCCTCAGCACCACATAAGCAAAAAGAAAAAAGCCGGAAGTGGTGCTGTGGCTCAATTGGTAGAGTGCTAGCCTTGAGCTGAATTGCTGAGGGACAGCGCCCAGGCCCAGAGTTCAGGCCCCACGACCGGACCCCCCCCAAAAAAAATCCATGAAAAAATATCTATAGCTACTCTGCTTATAATTGTCCAAATATAGAAACAAACATTTTAATTTTTTAATTAGTAAGTGGATAAATAGGGTACATCATGCAACTGAATAATAGTGTATTTTAATAATATATCTTAAGTATATATTTTAGTAATATGTACTATTTAATATGTATGTACTATATATCTTATATATAACATAATATACATAATACTACTTATATAATCTTAATAAATATATATTGGCTTATATATAAATATGAGTATGTTTTTGTTTTTGTGTCAATCATGGGGCTTGAACTCATATCCTGTGCACTGTTCTTGAACTTTTTTTCTCAAGGCTAAGGCTCTACCACTTGGAGCCACTGCTCCATTTCCTGCTTTTTTGGTCATTAATTTGAAATAAGAGTCTCATGGACTTTCCTCCTGGCTTCAAACCACAATTTTCAGATCTTAGCTTCTTTAGTAGGTAGGATTATAGGCATGAGCCACTGGAGCTGAGCTATGAAAGTAGTTATGAATTTATGTACATAAATAAGTCCAAATATGTGCATGCATTTATTAACTATGCTGAGAAGGCCTAGGAGCATTGAACTCCACATAGGCAGCTCACATCCTAATTTCTGATACCACCCTTCACAAAAAGGAACTAAAGATCCTTGGAGAGTTGGCAATGAAAACTGGAAAAGCACTGAAAGTGTTGTAGCATCATAAAGTAAGGGAATGCTGAAAGGCAAAATGACTTGCATGTGTTAAACAATACAGGGACCAACTTAGAAGGCAAGGATGCAGGGACCCACCTCATTGGCAAAGCTGAGACAGTTGGTGCAAAAAATTCAAAGCATAAAGTAAATATATGAGAGCTGAGCATCAGTGGCTTACACTTGTAATCCTTGCTACTTGGAGGCTGAGAGCTAAGGATCACAGTTTGAAGCCAGCCCAGGCAAGGAAGTCTGTGAGATTCTTACCTCCAATGAATACCAAAAAGCCAGAAGTGGAGCTGTGGCTAAACTGATAGAGTGCCTGCCTTGAGCAAAAATGCTAAGGGACAGCACCTAAGCTCTGAGTTCAAGCCCCTGTACTTGCATAAAAACATGCATACACACATGAGGCCATATTAATATAGATGTTTTTACAAATAAATGGAAAGAGAGTACTTTTCTTTATGAAGAATTCCAAATAATAGTTACTGTTCTCTCTCTAGTAGATGGATATTTTTCCTTCTTTTCTTGAGGATGGACTGGACTTTGTTAAAAGAAAGAAAAGAAAAATTGCTACATAAAGTGGAGAAAACTGGCAAACATTACCAAAACAAAGTGAAACAGGTTGACATCCCTGCTGTACCTCATCTTCTTAGCTATATGACAATGGCGAGGGCTCCCTGCTGAGTTGATTTTCACCCCAAACCTGTAATCTCAGTCTAATCACAACAAATGCTTCAGATAAAAACAATTTGAAGGGTCTTCTACAAGATATTCAAAGTACTCTTAAAACTGTTCAAGGTCACCGGGCACCAGTGACTCACACCACCTAGCTACTCAGGAGGCTGAGATCTGAGAATTGCAGTTCAAAGCCGCCTCAGGCGGGAAAGTCTGTGAGACTCTTATCTCCAATAAACCACCAGAAAACTGGAAGTGGTGCTGTGGCTCAAGTGGTAGAGCGCTAGCCTGTAGCTGAAGAGCTGAGGGACAGCACCCAGGTCCTGAGCTTAAACTCTGGCCAACAGAAAAAAAAACAACAACAACTGTTCAAGGTCATAGAAATCAAGGGAAGAGGGAAAGCTGACATTGATTAAGATGCTTTGTGCTCATAAACTGACAGGTTGAATGGAAACTTCTTTGTACAACTGCTTAAAGATAATAAAAATAAAATATGATGGTGATGACAATGATAATGATAACTAAGGAAAGGTGCTGAGGATACAACTCACTGGTAGAGTGCTTGCATAGCATCTTCAGGGCTCCAAGTTCAATTTCCAGCACTACGAAAGTGAATAACTTTTTTCTGTGATGGTCCTAGGGCTTGAACTCAGGGACTGGGCACTGTCCCTGAGATTTTTTGCTCAAGGCTAGTGCTCTACCACTTGAGCCACAGTGCCACTTCTGGTTTTTCTTTGGTTACTTGGAGATAAGAGTCTCATAGGCTTTCCTGATCAGGCTGGCTTCAAAGTGCAGCCCTCGGATCTCAGCCTTCTGAGTAAATAGGATGGTAACATAAGTCACCAGCACCTAGCAATAAATTTTTAAACTAAAATTCAAGGAAACACTTTCATAGGCTATAGGAGACATAACAAATGAAATATGGTATACTCAATTAGGGAAGACTGAAATTAAGTATGTCTAGAATTCAGTTAATTGTAATATACCAATATTTGTTTTGCCTTTGTGTGTATGTGTACACATGTGCACACATATGTGCTGTTACTGGAGCTTGGAATTAAGTGCCCTCAGTTTTTTCACTTAAGCTGGTATTCTACCACTTGACACACCACTGCACTTCTGGCATTTTGCTGGTTAATGGGAGATCAGAGTCTCCTAGGTTTTCTTGACTGGGAGCTTGGAACTATGATCCTCAGACCTTTGCCTCCTGAGGAGCTAAGATTACAGGTGTGAGCTGCCAGCACCCAACATGCTCTGTATTTTTGTTAAAGGTAATCATATTGGGAAAACTGAAACAGAGGATTATAGAGCAATTGTCTTGATCTGTTTGTGCTTTTACAACAAAATTTTCAAAATGTATTAATTTAGAAAGAGCAGAAAGTTACTTTGTCACAGTTATGGGAATTAGGCTAAAATCAAGGTGCTAACAGTGTTTGCTGAAGGCTTTGGTTTCTGCTTCCAAGAAGGTGCTTCGATATTTGGTCCTCACAAAGCTGAAGAGCAAAAGAGGGTGAGCCTATTTCCCCCAAGCCTTGTGTAAGGTCCTTAATCACATCTATGGGAGTCTGCCCTCCTGGCTTGAACACCTACTAAAGCCACCACCTCTTCATAATACCACATTGGCCAGTAAGTTTTAACATTAAAATTTGGGGACACACTAAGACACTAGCAAGAAAAAGTATATCCTACAGAGTGCTTGAGGTTCACACCTCTAATCCTAGCTACTCAGAAAGCTGCTATCTGAGGGTCACTGTTTGAAACTAGTCTGAGTAAGAAAATCCATGGGACTCTTAGTTCCAATTAACCAAGTTAAAAAGGCAGTAACAGAGCTGTGGCTCAAGTGGTAGAGCACCAACTTTCTGAGT